GACACACTGCGATTAAGCTCTCCGGTCACAATAAAAAAATCGTGTTAATCTCTTAAACCTCACACAAAACACTCTCCGGTTACACTAGTGATTAAGTGCAAGTTCATAATTTCAAATCATTACAGTCTACAAACTTAGTATCAAATTACAGTCCAAAACTTGAAGATATGATCCAGTTTTATGATTTGATGAGATTTAGATTCAATTATGATATATTTATGGAAGATTAAGTCTGATTGAATCACAAATCTTGTTATGTCAAACACTAAAGTCCAAAGAGATACGGATACAAAATCAAAGAAGATGAGTAGAATGATTTAACACGTGTTCTTCAAGAAATTAATCGTCCGGAGAAGATGATGAAGTAGATGACCTTGAGCGAAAACGAATGAGAACAGTGAAGAGTGAAAATGAAATCGGACGATTCCTTATATGTTGAAAAAAATGACTCTTCACTACCCTATCCGGACAACGTGTTGTCCGAATTCACTCCTTATCGGACAATGTATTGTCCGGATAGGAGTATCATCGGACACGCCTTGTCCAGATACGATCCAAAATCAACTCAAAGATCAAAAATACAATACGAATGATGCCTTATCCGGATAGGCTAATCTCCAGACAAGCCTTTGACCGGATAAACTTAACAATGAAACACCATCTTAAGATTAAATCTAACCTTGTCCGGTGTGATAACCAGGTTCTGGTTATTACCCAAGGTATTTATTATATGAATTAGTTAATTATGTGGATAAATGTTTACATGAAATAAATATGTGAATATGTGTAGTTTATGCATGGGAATATATGTGCATAATGTGTAAGTGTGTGTGTGTGTATATATATATATATATATGCAATGTATGAAATAATATGTAAAAGTGTTTTTGTGCCTACATGCATGAATGATTTGGTTATATGCAAGTGGGGGGGACCAACTTTCCAAATTTGGAAAGTATAAATAGGAAGGTTTGGGAAGAGGCAAAAGTTTTTTTCTTACGTCTTTGAGATTTTGGAAATTTTGAGTGAAGAGTTGTCCGGAGATCTAGTGTTGATCAAGTTGGTCTTTGCATTTCTTATCTTCTTCAAAATCTGAGTTCATTCTTAAAGGTGAGTGATTTCTAAACCATTTTTCCATAAAATTTGTTACTGGTTTTTACTTGAATGTTGTTTATTTTTGGAAAGAAATCAATTATTTAATTAAGGTTTTTATTCGGACAAGGGTGACCAGATTAAGTCTAAACCGGACAAAGCTTGTCCGAATTACTCTTAAACCGGATATGAGGTGTCCAATTTATTCATAAATCGCTTAAGTGTTGTGCGATTTAGGGTGTTAGTGAGAATTTTGAAATATGTAAACCGGACAAATGTTTTGAACCGAGAAGTATGAATACGACCAAGCATTGAGCGGTTTAGCCTTAAATCGCTTAAGGATCGTGCGAATTAGTTATAAACTGATCACGTATTAAGCAGTTTAGTCTTAAACCGATCATGTGTTGTCCGGATTGTTTTACACCGGACATGAGTCATGCGGTTTAGTTTTAAATCGATCATGTGTTGTTCGGATTGTCTTAAACCGGACATGAGTCATGTGATTTAGTCTTAAATTGACCAAGTGTTGTCCAGATTAGTATATCGGACAAGATGAGTTAAGTGTTGTCCGGATTATATATCCGGATAACTTATCTGGGTGACCTATATTTGATTTTCAAATGTTGAATATTTTAGACATTTATATAATTTAAAAATGTCTATTATTGGGTTTAATTATGGATTTATAAAAGGGGTATTTTATATCTTTTTAAATAAAAAGATATGTTCCTACCAAGCGTGGTGACATAAGTCTATTTTGGTATGAAACTGGATTTGGGAAAATGTTTCTACCAAGCGTGGTGACGTAAGTCTGTTTTGGTATGAAACTATATTTTGGAAAACCTTCCTACCAAGCGTGGTGACGTAAGTCTGTTTTGGTATGGAAGTGGCTTTTGTAAATTGTTCCTACCAATCGTGGTGACGTAAGTCTGTTTTGGTATGGAAGTGGATTTTGTAAAACTGTTTCTACCAAGCGTGGTGATGTAAGTCTATTTTGGTATGAAACTTGTTTTTAAGTGGTAGTTCCCCCAGACGTGGTGACTTTTGTGTGTTCTGGCTTGGAACTGGGAATGGGTACTTTCAGACGTGGTGACTTTTGTCTGTTCTGAGAAGTAGCCCTGTTTTGATGGAGGAATAAGGGTGGAATATCAAGGAGAGGTGTACTTGGAATAAGGGCGGCATTGTCATATGTGGTTAATATTATAACTCTTATCATTATTACTAATTGGATTTAATAACTTTGAATCATCATTTCTTTGTGACCTGATGAATTAGAGATATTATTCCTATTAGAAACAATAATTTACATGTTATTGAGAAGGGGAAAATGGTTTGTCATAAAGGGCAAGTATTGCCTTAAATCTTTGGTTACAATATTTGTTTCATATTGAGAACGTTGGATCATTAAGCAGATGCATTTTATTAATAGAACTGAGATTCTTAAGTTTATCCTTTTATACATGTCAATAAGCACTGCATTAGTTGATGGTATTGCAAATATTTCTGAGCAAAGATACTTTATTATAGTTTGGTGTTCATTACCCTGCATTTGCAAGGAAGGGATTTACTCACTAGACCCTTCTGGTCTAACCCTCATTTTTCTGTTTTAAAATTATGCAATGCAGGAATGGCGGGGTCCAGGGATATTAAAGAGAAAGGGAAAATGTGATTAATTTCCTAACCTGTTATCTGCCTTTGAAGATCTGCTTAAGATTGCTTATTTTTAAGATACATGTTGTATTACATGTGTTAGTACAGGATTTTTTTTGGAAATTTTTATATGTAGATTTTGTACATATAGGAATCCTTGTACTAGTGGGACCTTATGATGTAAACTATATTTCTATGTAATGAAATATGTGTTATATGCAAATGTGGTGTTTGGGGGTGTTACATCCGGATATGAATTTATCGGATAGCCTTTGTCCGGATAGACCCTTATCGGACAACTTTGTCCATGTTGTTAGTGCTTCTTCCAAACGCACCGACCAACTACGAGATGCACAAGTCGAGCAAATTGCATACTTGATTTATATTGATGAATTAGAGAATGATAGAGGTCTCAATAAAATTGGTACATACAACGAGCCGGAGATACTAGATGGAGTTCTCATCTCAGATCAGTTTCTAGCCTAATAAAGATGTTTAGTCCAACTTGTGAGGTATAGCTCAAAAATTTTGAGGAAGGAACTGGTCCAATCAAAGGAGATGCAGATTCGGCATATGAGGCTATGATGACATTTGAGTTCATATTTGTCTTGCATCTCGAAAGAGAAATAATGGAGATCACTGATTTACTTTGTCAAGCTTTACAAAGGCAAGATCAAGATATTTTTAACTCATTGAGGTTAGTTGCATCTACCAAATGTTATTGCAACTAATGAAATATGAAAGCGGGGATGCTTTGCTTTGCCTTGTTAAGTCATTTTTTCAGGTACATAACATAATGATCATACACTCGAACATCGTTATCAAGTAAATCTTCCTAACTTGTCTTCTTCTAGACTTGTTTCTTGTCATGTACGGAACATAGATATTCCTGACTTGTCTTCTTCCTACTTTAGCAGAGGGAATCGAGCTCGTAATGAGCATAGTGATCATACACTTGAGCATCATCACCGAACGGATATCTTTTATGAAGCAATTAATTGTCAATTGATGATTTTAGATCATCATTTCAGTGATGATTCCATGGAGATGCTTCGTCTTGTTTCAACTCTAGATCCTAAAAACGCGTATGAAACTTTTAGAAGTCTTGATATATGACAACTAGTAGAGAACTTTTATCCTGAAGATTTCATTGATCATGAGAAAACAATTTTGGAACTGCAACTTCAACATTATTCTATTGATGTCGTTCAACATATAGATTATAAGCAGTTGACATCTATTATAGAATTGGGTCAATGGTTGGTAAGGACTAGAAGAGAAACCACTTTTGATCTTATTTATCAATTAATAAGTCTATTACTTACTCTCCTAGTTTCTACCGCGACAACTGAGAGATAATTTTCAGCAATGAATATTGTGAAAACAAGAATACAAAATAAGATGGATAATGAGTTTCTAAATGACTCGTTGCTTTTGTTTATCGAAAGGGAAGTAGCTGAAAAGATTAGTTTGGAGGAAATTGTGGAAGACTTCAAGGTCACAAAAGATCGACGGGTTCCACTTTGATTAGCGATGTTTGACATGTTTAAATTTAACGTTTAGTTTTAGAGTTTTACTACGTTATAAATTTGAACAGTGTATTTTTGGTACCTTTGAAATATATAATATATTCGGTCCGGCCCCTACGGTTGAAAAGTTTGTGTTCCGCCCCCTATGAAGGAGCTTGTTTATTGGTGACTGGAGAAGGTGATCAAGTATGTCACCTTTTGTGAATAGGTACTAATCAACTTATTTATTAGAAAATACTACAAACAAATCAAAAATTTAAAACATGAGAATATTTCTACTTCATGACATATTGTTTTATCTACATGCAAAATTCATTGAAAAAAGATGAACGATTAATGAGGGCTTCTGAGCAAACGGGTTGGGCTAAGCAATTGGTCATGTAAACAATACATTGGTGGGGGAGTGTGCCAGTCTTCCAGAAGTGGTTGCGTGAATAAAACACAAATATATTCCCAAATTTTCTATTAATATTCACACAAATATATCATATATATCTATTTGTACTCCATATATATGTAGGCGAATGATAGAGAGTTAAGGTGAGAAGCATAAGAAGGGATCTGGACCCCTGATCACCTTTAATCTCAAACTCACCCATAAATTGTGCTTGATACATGGATTGATCCGGTGCATCTTGATGCATCTCATCTTAACATCCAATGGTGGAGATCCCTTCTCAGGTTTCTCACCTTAACTCTCCTTCTAAGCGGAACCCAACCCTATATATATACATATAATGTATCATGTTATTTTAGTTAGTTGGATTGGAAATCCGTTAACTAATCTTGCTGATGGGAAGAAAGACATTTTATCCTCCTTCACCTGGCTCCACCTGAAACATGTAAAGTATTTTGTCAGATTGGATTCCATAAGAACTTTTTTTTGTGAGAACCTTGAAAACATTTTAGGAGTCGTCGATCTATTTTGATCCGATGAAGCTAACTACGTTCATTTTTTATAAAGGAGTGGCACTTTCGTCTTTTTGATTTTCGCATCTAGGTAGGATTTGACTGATTTTTTTTGAAGGTATGAGAAGTTCCAATAATTTTCTTTTAGAGATGTAGTAATCTATGAATCATGAAGTTTAGTCAAGGCATGTGAAGTATAGTGAAAGTATATGCAAGTTTCAATGATTTTCTTAGAGAAGTGTAGTAAAGGCATGTAGAGTTTACTAAAGATATGTGCATGTTTAGCTAGCCTTATAGCAATGGCACTCAAGTCCCACTTGTTTATGAAACTGCCACAACGTCCATAACAACCATTAAACCAAAATAATCATCCAAAGGCTCATAAGATGTTCTCATGGTTCTCACCAAAAACAATAGTTCTCACATAGTCACAACTCTTCCTCTAATATACATGTGCATATATACATACATACATACATACATACGTATATATTATAAGGGAATAATCAAATGTGAACAACAAATAGATCGAGAATCATAAGAACTTTTATTTTAAGGTATTGTTTCACATGTTTTTTGGTTAATCTAAGACTAAGATTAAAAGTATTGATTGGCATATAATATTCTCATAATGTGAAACTCTTTTAAGTGTATTTTTTGTTTCACAATACAAAAATGTTTCACATTGTGAAACAAATACATGTTAAACTAAAGAAACACATTGTAAGATAAATATATGTTATTCAAAACCTTAAGTTCTATGCTTAGATGAAAAAGAGTAATGAGAAATAACACGTGATGCTCTCATTCTCATGATTTATAACCTCTTTTGTGGTTCTCACAAGATTACCGCTATATATAGTAAAAATAGTCTCTTTTAGTGGGAGTGTAAACACAAATGAAAGTACCCATATATTGAGTAAAGATTCGTGGTGAAAACCATGAAAGTACTCTTTATATTGTCTGAATGCTACAACATTCACACAACCTAACATGGCTTCCACAACACATAGTTAAAGGCGATATGACTGTTACAATCTTCACACAATATAATGGTACATTCACTTGTTCCCACATTCTATTATCCTGACAATGTATATATACCAATATCAAAACATGGAAAAGGAAGTCAAACCTGTAAGAAATTACAAAATGGTGTAAAAATAGAGCAATCTGAAGTCTAGCCAACTCTGCACCAGGACACAAACGAGGTCCTCCTCCGAATGGTGAATAGAATGGACTATTTCTCCAATTTCTCTTGTCCTTCAATTAATCAAGATTATGATGGTTCTTAAAATTTGTATCACGGACACCTTCAAATAGATCCAACTAGAAAAGTATAAGACTCACTTGGTTTTCAGAATCCATCCATCGCCAAGGATTGAACGTAGTCGCTCCTTCATGAACATTTTCATCTTGATGAACCGCCGAAAGGAATGGAACCACGAAGCTTCCTTTTGGGATAACGTAATCTATATTATGGTATTGCATTTAGCATGTGTCTATGAATAAATTGACCAAGCAGAACATAATTTAAGAAATTAATAGCGGTTTTTGGCTTGAATGCAAATTTTATAAATTGAATGCTCTGTTGTATCTTGTTGAGCGTAGATGTATATAACTCAAAGATTGGAAAAAATATACCTTGATATTTAACATCTTCTTTTGCTTCCCTCATTAACCAAATCGCAATCCCACCTAAACGAAGAGTTTCATCGATTACCTGCATAAAGTAACAATAGATATTCTTAATAAATGAATAGGGGGTTAACGAGTTTATTTTGGTAGCATGTTGTTTGGGCTTTTTAATTGTTCGAGTTCAAGTTGTAAGTTACACGTTATGACCTAATATTCATGAAACTTTATAAGCTCGTTTATGAGCACAAACTCAACATGATTAGCTTGAGCTTATAGCCTAGCACTAAAAACAGCTTTTTTTTATTCTTTATATCGTGATTGTATGATTTATGAAAATACGAACATGTTCGGCTCGAAAAAGTGTATGCTCATATGGCTCGACTTGGGTTGACTAGCAAATTTTAGTCTAGCTTTCTAACTAGCCGTGTTGAACATTGGTGTTATAAAACTCAACTTGAGTTTGAGAGTTATTAACTCGAGCTCGAGTAGCTAGTTCAATGCCCGAATCCTAACACCACTAAAAATGAACCATATGTATACATGAAAGAACCCCTCCAACTATACTTTTCGTGTTATGACAAAAAAAACTAAAAAAATGCCAACATTAAATTTATGCACTTTTGCGTACTTCAATGTTCTTTTTCGTTTGATCAACTACTGCCATTTGGTTTATAACGAAACTACGTACATGTTTAATGGTTACTTACGAAAATCTTGCGCATATGTGGTTTTGTTCACCCATCTACAATATATATATGTCCTACACTTTGTAATATAATTGCACCTTATGGACAAACAGATATGTTCTTTAACCAAATTCAAAGAATTCTACCATAATATAAAAAAACAAAATGTAACTTGTAACCTCCATAAAGTCGCATTCACGTATAATAGATGGTAAAATGTGAAAATGAAAGACATAAACTTACGTTTTGAGTAAATGACATCGATTTGTATTCTTCCCATGTTATCATGTCGATTTCACCACCTGAATGGAGTTTTTTAAACCTTATGTTTTGGTGCTCCTCCTATAAACATGATTAACACACGAAACGTCGAAAATTTAGAATGCATAACTAAAATAACTCTACATTCACAATGCATGATTTCATACATTAAAGAAAACATATGCATTACAGGGTTGGTGTTCCCAAAAAAAATGAAATTACCCATGATTTACGCATATGAATTTATGGTAATTATTCGTTAGTATGGAATAAACTCCACGACCAAGTGTTAACTAGGGTCACAAATTGATGGCCATTTTAATAAAAGACAAAAAAAAAAAAAAAACAAATAGTCTGACGTAATATTTGGTGTTCTTCATAGATTTGCATGAAAGAGAATGTACCAAGAGTTGATTAACGGCATCTGGAGAACTAGTCAAGAAATATATGGCGAAAAGCATGGTTTTAGCTGTTGTCTCATTTCCGGCAAATAAGAGGTTGATGATAAAGTCAGCAATTGAATCATCAGAAAGACTTCCCTCTTTCGTCAGTCTTCTAACCAAACCACCATCGCCGTCTCTGTACCTAGTTTCCACTATAATTTTCTTGATCTTTCTAATTATATTTTTACGTGCCTGTAATAAACATCATGTGACAATCAAAATTACGAGCAATTTAACCCAATAATACCAATCAAGTCTTTCATGTGGTAGTCAAAAAGTGATGTTTATTAGATCGAATACATATGGATCGAATGGACTAATTTTGAGAAGAAGAAAAAAAGAAGGGTCAAACGCGACTTCTATTAGAAAATTAATTAAAATGACCATGAGATGTGGGAGTAGTGACTTACATTCATAGCACTATGATAAGCAAAGCCTGGCAAACTGATGGGAAGGGACAAACATCCATCTACGAACACTGAGAAAAGGTCTGCCATTTCGCCCACTTCTGACTCACTTAAGACCCCTAGTAGCTGATTCACCATCAAATTTATAGCCAACTGAAAACAACACCACACAATCGGTCAGGTTAACATCGAGACCCTTGGTTTGGTGTTCTAAAATCATGCTAAACAAAGATTATGGTTCTAATTTTATCAATCGTTATTTAAACTATGAAATCAAATTGAAGCTCGCCAAAGTTAAATGGTTTGGTTAGGCTCGGTTTGAAGCTTTTGGATTAAGTTAGACTTGGGGGTTGTTCGGTTGATTTTATAATAAGACATGTATGGATAAAGTTGTTTGTATTGATAAAATTGTCTGTGTGATAATAGATAAGTCGTTATTCGATTGTTGTGCTGAACAGAATGTCAGAAATGACCATTTTATCCTAAATCTATATTGTTATTTGAATAAATAACTATTTGATAAAAATGTTGAATAAATGATTATTAATGATAAAAAAAGATATCAGTTTAAAAGCTTTTTAAATAAGAACAACTTGATTTAACATATTAATATGAATTCAATGCTATTAGAAATTAATAACCTTCTTTGTTTTTCTTAGAAGTAGGAAGACTCCGTTCTTTGCAATGAATTTCAACATGTAAACAGTCACATAATCAATAATTGAAGATCCCAAAATACATTATCGATTTGTAACTCATTTTGAATAGAGAGTCATCACCATTACCTCAATGGATGTAACAATGCTCTAAACACGAAGGGTTCTAACCCAGTCCCTAACCGTCAATGTTTCACCTAATCTATCCAAACCCTTGTTTTCACCTCCTTTTATATATCAATAATCCTTAGCCGTTCACGAAATTCTCCAACCCATTCGTCAGTGGTTTTGGACTTCTGCACGACCTCGTCGGCAGATACAACCTTAAAAAAGCATTGATAGTGAGTTATAGAATGCTAAGCAAGGATAACTTAATAGAAAGGGCTATAATGGCCATCCAGAAAGACTAGTTACTATTTTCATGAGCTCATTTGGACTCATAAATCAAACTCAGACATAACCTCACTGTAGAGAGGGAGACTCCCGGAAGCGTTAGAACGACTATTTTGGAGCCTGAGGGTGAGGTTCCATTGAGTTATAGAATCGAACGGTGGAGGAAAACGATTTCAAACAGAGAGAAAATAGTGGCTGGTGACAACGACGTCGTCGCCTTTCGTTGCACGACTCTCACTGAAACCACCCTCTTTGTCCCCACTATCGAACTCCGCTCTCCTCACTGACACCACCACTCTTCCCACTGAAAACCACCTCACCACCAGCCAGCCATCACCATTTCTCTGCTACTCAGCGTCCTAGTCACCTTCACCCATGGCAACACCATTTTCAACCACCCTCACAGGAGGAGCGTCCTTCTCTTTTCAAATATTGGTTTTTCCTTAATAATGGTAGTTGGGGAGGTAAGGGTAGACAGACAAATTAAATGGAATTAAATGATTGAGTGTAAAAGAGTAATGTTTTGTAGCGAAGCGATTAAGCGAACATCCCTTATACAACTCATTAAACTCTTACTGAACAACCCCTAATTAGAGTTGTATGGTTCGCTTTATGATATCATCCAAAACCAAATCAAATCAAATTATTTTACACCCTTAACATATCATTAAATAAACACAATATAGCATGTCGATTGTTTATACGGGACTCATTTCGCACATTTTAATACTTGAAGGGTTATTATTTCATATTAACCTAATTTATATGGACTAATTGTGTAATTCCTACGTGAGTTGACTTTCGGAACAGCCCCTTTAGTATTTTTGTGTAGGGATGGTGATTTGCCCCGACTCGGTGGAGAACCCGGTTCATTTGACCCGAACAGGAAGGGGATTCCCCGCTAAAATGGGTCATGGGGTCAGGGATCCCCGGTAGACTTAAACCGGGCTGGGCTGGGAATCTGCGGTAAAATCAAACTAACGGATATTTTACATGGGGATTGACCCGGGATTGACCGAGATTTGACGGCGGATGAGATGTTAATCCCTGTACCCGCCAAATACCGGGCCGGGTCCAGGGTATGTTACTACAAACTGGGGCCGGGGATTACAAAACCCGCCCTATCTCAACTCCGTTGCCATGTCTATTTTTGTGTTTTGCCAAAATAAAAATAAAATTTTAAATAAATGGAAAATTATATGAAATATAACCTATTTTAATCTAATTTTAATTTTATATAACATATTTTTAAAAGCTTCATTTTTGATACTTTTAGATTTGATATCTAAAACATTTAAATCAAATTATATTGCACAAAATAAGAAAACGTAAGTAATATTCTCATGCACTTTATATGATGTAAAGCAGGTATCTAAATGTCTAGAATGTCACATATGAAGTATCAAAATAAAGACTTGGAAAATAGTTACACAAATAAGAATTCAAGTGAAAAACGTTATTTTCATGCAATTTGCCTTTAAATAAAGTAGGTGATCTAACCTTTCTGCAGACATCTTGAAGTAAAATTGTCTGATCATTGTGAAAATTATTGAAAGTTTGATGCATAACGAGTTGAATATCAATCAAGAAATTGGATTTCAAGCTCTCGGTACGCATCATATTTGATGCAATCATGTGAAGCTTCCGATGTAGATCTCCTTGGACCGTGATGACGCCGTTCGCCCCAACCAAGTCTCTGAACGACTTTGGGTAACTGGATTTGAAAAGCTTTCCTTCGTTATGCATTACATATCTATTGAAAATCGGATCAGCCGATACCACTGCTGTTCTCCCAAATATGTTGCATGAGAATATCTTTCCGTACCTATCATTTATACAATATTTATGGAGTTTATAAAACTCATCATTGTTGTCAGTAGAAGTGTTATTTTGAATAACATTGAAACAGTTTTTAATACAAGGCTGACCAATAGCGCAAGTATCACAAGGAGAAGATTGTAAATCTTCAGAGTCAGAAGATAAATAAGAGTCATCTTCATTAATGACATAAGTACTATTAGTAGAGCTAGAATCAGAATGGGTATCAGGCTCATCATCAGAATTTTTGAAATTTAGAAAGATGTTTAAGAGAGAATCTTTCGTATCCTGAGCAATATTTAAATTATTGATCTTTTTCTTGGTCYAACAATTTGCTRAAGAATGGCCAATCTTGCCACAATTTTGACAAACAATTTTGTTTTTCTTAAAACCCTGAGAGTTTTTAAAAGATTTTCTATGTTTGGAAACATCAGGTTTTGTAGAGTCTTCAGCTCTGTGAGATTTTTGTAAATCTTTATCAAAAGTTTTTTTCTTAAACCTTTTTTTATAATGGCGATAACCTGAATCCTTATCGCGAGTTTTATGAAACTTTCTTCTATGTCCCAGATCTAACAAAAACAATCAAAACAGACAAGTTTGCCTCAAATCTCAAACCAAGGTTTTAAATACCCTAAACGGCTCTCTTGGCCTCAGYGGGTGAAAACCAGTCTCAGAGATCTCAGAGGTAGACTTGACTGTTATTGAAGATCTTTACTAAATCTAAACATATAAACCATTCCATGTAAATCTATTAAAATATCAAATCAAAATATGTTTTAACTCATTGTCCTAACTTAGCCARCCATAAAGGCGGCAAGATACTGAAAGATAAKAAACAAAAGGATGAACTTACAAAAACTTGACCACTGTCGGCAAGCTTGTTCGTCTTATTTCTTTRTTGGCACACGGATTACAATACTTGAAAGAGAGAAATTGAAAATTTACACACTGCCTAAATCAAACTCTGATTTAGAAGAGAGACATGCCTCTCTATAAATACAGAAAAGAAAATCCTATTAAGGACAGCTGGCTAGACARCTAAAAAGAAATCTGCTTTATTAAAGCAAAAGCTTCTTTTCAAAAGAAAAAGCAACTTTATAAAAGTTGGTCGGCTACTAGAACCGAAAGTAATACAATTGGACAAAAATGTCAAAAGGCTACTTACTTTGCTTTATAGAGTCCTTGAGGGCCTCTAGGGCATCTTCAATAGAGATAGCTAGCTCTTCGGAGCCTTCTATGCTTTGAGCATCTTGCTGTATGTCGGAGTTCATTGAACTGTCTGAAGGTTGAGAAAGGTTTTGATGGAGATCCTTCTTCATGTTCTCTATGTAGAGATCAACAATCTCGTCTTTGGACAAAGTACCAGCATATTTCTGGGAAAGTTGCTGGAAAGGACTCGKAATCTCCGAGTTTGTGTTCTTCTGTTGACGAACTTCGAAGTCTTTCTTATAAATCTGAATTTTCTTCGAAATGGAGTCAAAAAGATCAGCTCCTTCAAGAGTAGAGGATTTTGGACACATGCGATCTAATTTCTCCCAATATTTTGAAAGGCCTTGACGCTTGAGACAAGGAATCATATTATGATCATAGCCAAATATTGGCTTCCATTTCCAAATCCAAGGGATGCCAAATTCGATAAAAAAGAGGCAAACATTACTGCTATCAATTTGATAGAGTTGTTTACAGTCATTGACTGTTGGAGAATATAACATCCAATCTTTTATAAAAGATTTCATATGATCAGGAAAAATAGAAGAACTAGTTCCAAAATTTTTCCACCAAGAGAAAAACCAATTAGGAATTGGAGAATGAAAGCAATTTTCACAAATCTTTAAGAACCAAGAATGTCTTTTGTTCTCATTATCGTAAAGTAGAACTTTAGATAAACCATGGATATAATCCCAATAATTGAATTTGAAATTGCATTTATGACTGGGAGAAAACCATTCTCTCTCAGCAAGAGGAGAAAAACCCCATTCTTCAAAAGATATAATCTTTTTAATGACAAGTTTTGAAAAACTAAAATTGCCATTTATCTCATCTCTGCTATTAGAAGAATGATGAGTAATTTCTACAGATTTTGTAGAAAGAAGTAAACCTTCATAGAATTGGCGTTG